AGACCCAGAGATAGGCTTAATGGATTCGAAAACGGGAAAACTGTTTAACTCTAGGGGAGTTGGAAAATGAGCCTATTTTCAAAAATAGTGGAGTGTTCCTTTAAGAATGTACAATGCTAAAAAAAAAAAAAGAATTGCAATTTTGTAAAATCTAATTTAATATCTTAACATTAAATTGCTTGCATACACAATGCAGGGTTACTTTAGTATCACTGAGATACAATTCAAGTTTTTATTAATATTTTGAATTATTTTATTTTATATATTTTTTCCATTTTATTTCAAGTTTTAGTAATTTTGGTTTAATTTTCGTTTTTAATTGAATTAATTTAATGTATATCGTTTTTATATATTGTTTTACTTTAGTTTTAGTTTAAATTATTTTAGTACAACAAGATAAAATGAAAATGAGAAATGTTGCCTTGGCTGAAATAAAAGTAAAAAATAAAAAATAAAAAAAGTTTTTTTTTTTATTAATACTTTTATTTTAGGTCGTTTATTTTATTTTAAGTAACTTTTTTTTTCATTGTTTTAGTTTTAAGTTTTAGTTAACTATAATAACACTGTACATTAGAAGCAGCATTTACATTCTACGAATGCACTTTGAAATACAAAAATCAAATCCTTAATTGAAATCAAATCAGATTTCATTGTGAATAAGAATCAGATCATTCTGAATTTGCAAAAATCGTTCCCGAATTTAATTGCAAACCTAACTGCTTCGCTGTCTACCCAAAAATTTCACAGCCCTAAGTAATAAGAGATGACAGAATTTTTATTTTTGGTTGAACTTTGCCTTAAAAGTATAAATGAAGACACAAAAATTTGAAGACACACAAAGTTGCTTCTATATTTCTTTGTCACTGTGTTTCTAACAACATGTTTAGATGTTTGTGTTTTAGATGTACCTCTCCCACCGCATTGACCACAGGTAAGTGTCGAAGGCCCATGGTCCTGAACAGATTGAATACTTGGGACAGACATGTATTTGGAGAGACTGTATATGGACAGGGGTTCATGTAAGGAGTCACGTCCTGTTTAAGAAAACAATTAAAAAAGACAAATGAGACTAATTATGTCTGAGAGAGACCGCTGAACAAACTGTCATCACTGCAAGGCTCACTTTACAACAAGATCACTTACACGCTTACAATTATCACCAATTAACAGCCATTATACACACATCCTAGATAACTGGATATAGAGCACTAGTTTATGAACTGCTGCGAGCGTCACGACATTCCCCTGAAGAGTCTGATAGGTCAGAGGACTTTACCACAATCATGCGTGGATTGAGAAGGGCCAGGTCGAGATCGTGGATGTCAGGGAATCGTGGGTAATCCTCGGTCATCTCTGAATGAGAGAGCCGTGGCTGTGAGGCGCTCTACAGAGGGCAGAGGAAAGAGAGGCAGCTCTCAAATGGCTGGCATGTATTTGGTTGCATCTACAGTTCAAACAGATCAATGTTTCTCACTCTGATTGCCGCTAAACAGACCCTTGTGAAAAAATACTTCACTTTAGCATTCTTTTAAAAAAGAGTACTTATAGAAATAATACATGCAAACATGCAGAGTCTTAATTGTATTTTATTTGGAATTAAATTAAAATATCTTAGTTTAAATTTATATTACATGCATTTTATTTGGAATTAAAAAAGCAATGTCACACGAGTAGCTGTGAGATATGGCTGTATATCGGCACGGCTCTGATTCAGTCGTAGGTAATCACAGCGTGCTTGATATCGTGTGATATTGCATGTATACAACAGTTCGACGGCACAAGGGTGTAAATAAAAAAAGAAAAAAAAAAGAAACGGCAGACTGTCTTTAAAAACCCTCTTTTGTGCAGAACTGCTTCTTTCCGCAAATGATTCAAATCAAAGTTTGACAGTTTAACAGCTGAGCCCAAGCCTCCATTATTAATTCTAAAACGTCACTTTAGAACTACAAACGAAGGAACGTTGAGTTGCTTCATTGAAAGCTTATTGTATTATTGTATTAAAAGCTTACTGTAGAGTATTATGAGAGAGATGGACTCAGCGCCTAAAAAAACTCTTAAAACCACATTCCGTGACACAAAAACAGCATTATGTATAAAATTATAGTGGATTTGGGCATCCAGCATGACACTCTCTGTGAGAAATACTGCAAGCGGGTGAACTTTTGATTGCTTTTTTCCACCCACTTTTAAGTAGGACTTAAGTAAAATAAGTTGACAGCAGAATATACTGACAAGCATTCATGGTAAATAAAATTTCTAGTAAAAACTTATGTCATGTCATTTTTAAATATGATTAAGTTGTGATTTAGTACAAAATTAAATATATATTGAATGTAATATCAAATAGCAAAATATTTTAAATCATAATAAGTACTTTACATGTGCTTTAGTATTCAGTCAAAACATCAAGTGTTCTTTAAAGCATTACAAAAATGTAAAAATTAAAATACTTTAACTTAATTTTAATTGGACATTACACATTACAACAAAGTGCACTTGTTAAATAAAAGTGTACTTAAGTGTGTTAAGAAAGTCATGAATGTACACCAAGTATACTGAAGTACCCTTATATTTAAGTTTATATAATTTATAAGTACAGTTTGAACATACTTTTAAGATTTAAAGCACACTACATATGCACATTCAATAGAATTAATTGGGTTGTCAGTAAAAAAAAAAAAAGTTGTTAAAGTTATTCAATTTTTTATTAACGATTATGAAGACTCTCTCTGGAATCAAATATCTTGTATAATGTTCATAGCAATGTAACGTATTTCTGAGTGAAGCAGAATATCAAGCAAGAAATAATGTAGTGTACAGGACTTGATTTTACTTGGTGGGATTTGCTTGGTCGAAATATGTTAGAACATTAGTTAATAATATTCTTAATCCATGCCCACGCTGTCTTGATTACACTTTGAGATTAAAATACTATGAAACACATGAAACCAGATTAAGATTTAAAGCACACTACATATGCACATTCAATAGAATTCATTGGGCTGTCAGTAAAAAAAAAAAGTTGTTAAAGTTATTCAATTTTTTATTAACGATTATGAAGACTCTCTCTGGAATCAAATATCTTGTATAATGTTCATAGCAATGTAACGTATTTCTGAGTGAAGCAGAATATCAAGCAAGAAATAATGTAGTGTACAGGACTTGATTTTACTTGGTGGGATTTGCTTGGTCGAAATATGTTAGAACATTAGTTAATAATATTCTTAATCCATGCCCACGCTGTCTTGATTACACTTTGAGATTAAAATACTATGAAACACATGAAACCAGAAACAGTTATTAATAAAGTAAATCGAATCAGTATAATGTCACTTATATTCACTTTCGAGTAATAGTGTGAAAATATAGGGCATAACCATAAGGGATGATCTGACCGGCTTTGAAAAGACTAATGGAGTAAGATTAGGAAAATCGAGGTGGGAAATAAAGGCAAGAGAAAAGGTGATGAGAGGAAAGGTGATGAGATCTGACTGTCCCTGACCGACTGGTTTTCAGCGTAGCAGACGCCACAGATCAGCAGGTTGACAAGCTGCGAGCGCAGGATGAGCCCGTGAAAGGTGAGCGGCCGGAACCTCTCCTCCAGGGTCCACTCCTCACTGGGAGACTGGTCCGGGTACAGGTTTGGGTACGGCACGTGTCTGCCAACATCAACCATAGAGAGCAGACACAAAACATCAGCGTATTAACATATGCTCTAGATTTACAACTAACTGGTCTGTGTGGAGGAAACTTAACTTTTATCTTTATTAATTATTTATTAATTATTATTATTAGCTTCATTTGCTTCACTCTACCAAAGAGTGTTCTTTGCTTTTCTAAATGCCGCCTTAACATGCTTAAAGGAACACTCCACTATTTTTGAAAATAGGCTCATTTTCCAACTCCCCTAGAGTTAAACAGTTGAGTTTTACCGTTTTTTAATCCATTCAGCCGATCTCTGGGTCTGGCGGTAGCACTTTTAGCTTAGCTTAGCATAGATCATTGAATCTGATTAGACCGTTAGCATTTCTATATTTTTTTGAAGGACTCTTCTGTAGTTACATCGTGTACTAAGACTGACGGAAAATGAAAAGTTGAGATTTTCTAGGCTGATATGGCTAGGAACTATACTCTCATTCTGGCGTATTAATCAAGAAACTTTGCTGCCGTACCATGGGTGCAGCAGGCGCAATGATATTACGCAGCGCCTGAAAATAGGTTTTTTGGACATAGAAACAAAAAGACATACTCTAAGGTTCAATTTGTTAACATTATTGCAATAAGTACCATAAACTAACAATGAACAATCATTTTGCAGCATTTATTAATCCTGGTTGATGTTAATTGCTGCATTTGAATACTAATAGGTTAACATTAGTATATTTTTACAGTATATTAAACTTTACATTTTAAAGTTAAATGAACATAGTTCATGTATTATAAAACAACAATTAATACATGGAGGGTTTAATCAATCTATTTGTCATTTAATCTGTGTTTTTAGTCATTTTAAAGACCACACGAAACAGCAAACTGAATATTCACACTAAAATAATGTAGGACTTGATCAACCATTTGGATTTTGAAAGTGGAGAGTGGATTAAACATTATTTTAGAGGTAGAGAAAGTTATTACGTATTAATGAAAATGTATTATATATTATAACTTTTTTTTTTTTTTTTGCACAGTAACTCCAGGGACATTTATTAAGTCCACTTTGAAGTCATACTCAGGGCCACCATTAAAACTGTGAGTCAAATCATGCAAATTTCGGAAAAAGGGAGGAACAAGGAAAACAAACTTTCTAGCAAAGCTCTAATGGTGATTTTGTGCTTTTTCAATCATTGTCATCAAAACTGTAGGCGTACTTTACATCAGGAAATACTGACATAAAACACTGTTATACTGACAACTAGTGCTGTCAAACGATTAATCGCATCCAAAATAAAAGTTTTTATTTACATTTTAAAAGTATGGATATCATTGCATTATATATATATAAAAATAAAAAAAAATTCAAAGAACTCGCATTAGATGACAAATAATGCTATGAAACTGAGCCATTTTTAAGTGTAACTTAATATTCAAACACTTCTGGGCCACAAACTGTGGCACATATATTAAAATGGTCTCACTTGTCCATCTCGACCTCTGTTTCCCACTCCAGCAGTGGGACTCCCTTCAGGTGAATATGAATATCATATATTCCCTTATTAAAGAAATCTCCTGTCCACTTGGCCACCTGACAAAACACACAGTGCCAGTAAGTAGTGTACATTGAAGTTGTATTTTTTACATCATTAATCTCTAATTATGCTATATTAGGAGGACATTCATAAAGGATGTAGTCTGATATAATTAAAATTTGTGCTGGTCAACAATTAATCGCATCCAAAATAAAAGTTTTTGTTTACATAATATGTGTGTGTGTACGGTGTATATTTATTATGTATATATAAATGTATACACACTCATACAGTACATATTTAGAAAATATTTACATGTATTTATTTATATTTGTATAACTTATATTATATATAAATATTTAATATAAAAATATATACATTTTCTTAAATATATACACACGCATGTGTGTGTATTTATATATACATAATAAATATACACAGCACACACACATATATATTATGTAAACAAAAACTTTTATTTTGGATGCGACCCATACAACATAAAAAAAACAACAGGTATCAGAACTTGATTTGTGAATTTGTTTTCCTACCATCAGTGTTATCATAATGGGAAGTCCGTATGTGATCTCATTGGTGGATTCAATTAAGATGACTGTCAGGCTGATGGTCATTCTGACCACACCTCCTAGAAAGGCAGCTGCTCCAATCAAGGCAAAGGTCCCCGAATATATTTGCATGTGGAAGTTACTGCAATTGCACACATGAAAAACAACATAAGTGTAGGCTAAGAAATTATGATGCATAAGACACAATAAATATGTGTGTCCTGTTCCAACGGATGCCCTTGGTACTTCTTAAGAGATTGTAAACAGGAATAAATCTTACATCTTGAGGACATTGGCCACTAGGCGCCCAAGTGAAGCTCCACAGAGAAGAGACGGGACAAACAGACCACTGGGGACGGACACACCGTATGTCCAACAGCTCATAAAAAAATACAGCACAAAGAACAGCAAGAGCGTGACGGGACTGAAGGTAGCTGTCAACAAAACCAGACAAAGGAGGGAGAAAGAGACAGAAAAAGATGAGAAAATAAAGAGGTATAGTGATATGCACTTCTCAGAAACAATTTCTACTGAGAACAACACCATAGAGGTACAGGCAGGCTGTTTAATCAAACTTTATTTTCATGACTATGAAAACAAGATAAAGTGATTATTCCATTTTGTCTTGTGTTATAAATCCAGCATGCCCTTTTCCTGTAAAGTACAGTGATTTCAGCCCATGAAACATGAATAGTTTTCATATTTTCCGACAAATCGTTTTTTTAAATTACGTCGATTCGATATCGATTCTCAAAAGCCGCGAATCGATCTTTTCCAGTATTTATTTCAGCACACATTTAAAACAAGATCTGATTAACGTGAATCTTATCATTAGTCTTCTCCACTAGATGTCACCCTTATTTACCTTGCGCGATGTTACAACAGAAATCCTGTTATTCATTTAGCGCTTATGGCCATACGCGTGATTCGCAATGCTCAGGTGAAATGCTATAATAATACTATAAATCTGCGGAAGCATTTGATATCACGCATAAGGCGCCATGATTTCTGCAATGAATGAATGGCGGATGGCGCGGCGCACTGTTTTGTTTACTACACGCATACTAAAGCGCGGATGACGCTCGCGGTGTTTTCAGCTTCTGCCGTCTCACTATATGATGATATGAACACGAATGTCATCTCCAGCTGCTCTGAGAGTCACTTCATTAGCATTTTACCGTTTCATTTGAGAAAACT